CTGATGGCGTGAAAAGATGGCGCCCTTGCCCTGAAAGAATGACACAAATCACACCAGCCCGGTAGGCAAAAAGAGCAGTCATTTGCCCGTAACTCGACATTATTGCGATATGTTTCCAATGAATTTCCTTGTGATATTGTATATTAAGGTAGTACAAATCTCGAGATGGAATTCGTATATCGACTGGCACATGTTATTGATTGTTGGATACTGAATCTGGAGGCTTCTGCTGTTTTCTATGGTTGGTTTCTGGGGAACAAACGGGGAACAGGATGCGGTGAACAGGATATGCTGATGGAGTTGAGAAGAGGGTTTGGCGTTGGGATGATGGCGATAGGGGGGACTATTTGCGAGTTGCGTCGCGTTTTGTGAGAGGACACCCTTGAAGTTTCATACTTCTGAATATTGCATGGTTTCCCCGCAGCTGATCCTTTGCCAAGGCGGTGACAGTCACCAAGAGAAGGGTCTACTCCAAATGCGCCAGACACCATCATCTCAAAGCCTGCGTGCGGCCTCGGTCGGGGAAATGCGGAAATTTCTTTGCAAAAGCTAGTTTTAACATTTCACTAGACACAACTTCGTTCAGACATAGCGAGGAGTGAAGGCCTCCACAGATATGTTAATAGAACCTAAGTCCTTTTACCCCGCACAAGCACACGTCCAGCTGCCACGCCAGCAGCTCGTGCAATGGCTCGGAGTGTCTTATATAGCGGAGGCTGTTATCACAATCAAAACATTGGATTGATACATCTGCACCAATCGTTTCCGGTTTGCTTAGCGGTCGTTCTCCTTCCACTAATTCTAACCCGTGAAGCTTTATGATATTGGTGACCCTCCCCTTCTAAGGCTCCTTATGGTATCTTATCAGCTGTTATCACGTCCTGCCACCCACCAATAATGTTCCCATCCTGCCCCTTATCTTACTTCTTGAAACCAACGTTCTATCGTTGCTGTGACGCGCGTTATGAATTTGGTGACCCTCCCCTTCTAAGGCCCGTTATGGTATCTTATCAAGTTGTTATCACTTCCTGCCACCCACCAATAGTGTTCCTGCCCGACCCCTACATCACTTATTAGTTTGAGCGCTGTTTGAAGAAAGGTATGAATTTCCGG